TCTATCTATCTATCTATCTATCTATCTATCTATCTATCTCCCATCCATCCATCCATCCATCCATTTCTATCTATCTCTATCCATCCATCCATTTCTTTCTCTCTGTCTCTCTCTCTCTCTCTCTCTCTCTCCACCCATCTATCTCCTATCTATCTATCCATCCATCCATCCATCCATCCATTTCTACCTAGCCACCCATCCACCCATCCCTTTCTTTCTGGATCCCCCTCTGGTCTTGAGAAGTTGAGAGCCACCTGTGGACGGCTGTGGGGTGATTATTTTGCTAATCCTAAAGTTCCTCAGGCTGTTTTTTTTTCTCTCCACTTTTTCACAACTGTTTTTTTTTAAAGTTTCTTTTTAAAAACAAAAAAAACCCTTGAAGGCACCTACCCAACAAGGGTTCCCGCACGTTCACCAGGGAAATGCAGCCCGGTGGGGTGAACTCCGGCTGCCCCAAATCGCACTCCAGGTATTCGAGGCAGGGAAGGCTGGAGTTTAAAAAGAGAGAGAGAAAAAAAGAGAAACAGTCCAGGAATAATTCAAGAAAAATACAGAAGAACAGAGGAAGGTGAAGGGAGCCCGAGAGGAGGGGAAGAAACCACCACTCACCGGTTGAGTAAAAGGTTCATCAGGTATCTGTTGAACGTTGACTTTCCGATGCTTTTCGGGCCGCAAACTAAGATAACCGGGCAGCCTTCGTCTTCCACTGAAAAAAGCAAAGAACCATTGAGATGAGATTTTGGGGGGGTGAAGATCAGAGAATCCGGAGCACAGGGAGTCCTCGACTTACGACCGAAATCGGGGAAAGCACCACCAGAAGTGTGGAAGTCAACGTTTCCCCTGCACTTTTTCCTCTTTCTTTTTTTTTCCCCGCTCCTGTTTTCCTCTTATTTGCTTTTGTGTTTCTATGTTTTGCATTTCGATCAACTGATCAAAAATATTCAGAGGAGAAGACCCCTCCCCACAAGAGAAAGGGCTATTTCTCCCCCCCCTTGCTTTTTCAAATTCATTCATAGATATACTGTACATTCTTATAACTGCTATTTAACCTTTGTCTATTCACCATAGTGTCTATACTTATTTTTACACACAAACATATATATAAAATACATTTTGGGTCACTTTCTTCCGCGCGCCTTATTTTGCAACAACCTTACTCCTTCCACCTTCTCAACCTCCCTTCTCTACCTTCTTCCTTCCTCCTCTCCTTCCTTCTTTCTTCTTCCCCTCTCCTCCTCCCTTCTCCTCTTTCTTCCCCTCTCTCCTACTCTTAATTCCCCTCCCTTCCTTTCTCTGCTTTACCCTTTCTTCCTTTCCCTCCTCATTCTTCCTCCTTTCTTCTTCCCCTCTTTCTCCTCTCCTCCTCCTCCCTTCTCCTCTTTCTTACCTTCTCTCCTACTCTTAATTCCCCTCCCTTTCTTTCTCTGCTTCATCCTTTCTTCCTTTCCCTCCTCATTCTTCCTCCTTTCTTCTTCCCCTCTTTCTCCTCTCCTCCTCCTCCCTTCTCCTCTTTCTTACCTTCTCTCCTACTCTTAATTCCCCTCCCTTTCTTTCTCTGCTTCATCCTTTCTTCCTTTCCCTCCTCATTCTTCCTCCTTTCTTCTTCCCCTCTTTCTCCTCTCCTCCTCCTCCCTTCTCCTCTTTCTTACCTTCTCTCCTACTCTTAATTCCCCTCCCTTCCTTCCTCTGCTTCACCCTTTCTTCCTTTCCCTCCTCATTCTTCCTCCTTTCTTCTTCCCCCCTCTTTCTCATCTCCTCCTCCCTTCTCCTCTTTCTTACCTTCTCTCCTACTCTTAATTCCCCTCCCTTCCTTCCTCTGC